TAGGGTTTTAGGTTGCTCACTCCATCAACGGGTAGGGACAAAAAGTTTGTTCAGGTAAACTTCTCCATAAGCATCCTTAAAGAAAAAAATAGAAAGGAAAGAGCTTCTTTACGACGAAATTTATATCATTTTTCCTTTCTATTTTTCTCACCTAAAAGTACTTGTGGAGAAGTTTACTCACACAAGCAAAGTTAAGAACTTCAATTCAAACAATTACCTGCTTGACCAAATTCACATTAGCACCCAAAGGAATAGATTTCTGTCCAAAGGCATGGTGACAGAACAAAGTGAGTGCATCCTCTTCACCCAACAATTCCACCTGATAAGTGGTGTTAAAAATTGTTGGGAATTTGAATCTGGACACCACAAGGAATTTGCAGCCAGGAATTTTCCACACAAGCTGCTCCAGCACGGAGAGAGACCACACATCATCAAGAACAACCAGAACTTGAGCTTCCCCTTTGCACTCAAACTGCGGCATACATTGCGGAACCACATAATTGCCATGAAAACCTTGGCTCCCCATGATGTGTCCCCAGATCCTCGCTCTCAGCTGCTCCACATTTGGAGACTGCGACACAGTCAGAAACAAGATTCTCTCCTTGAAATAACCTGCAAAAACCAACCATTACACTCTTCAACATTGAAACCCTGTCTCACAAATATAAATCAAACAAGAAATGCATCCACTTATTATAAGTTACAAGTTACAACACTGCAACCTTGTCACAATCAATGGTTCACCCATTAAACACCAAACTTAAATACACATAAAACAATGAAGGTTTTGTTAGTCACCATTAAACATGAAACTAGCATGATCCTTCACCCCGTGAGGCAAACATAACCTCCCTCAAACTTAAAAAAAATTCACAACCACATTTTTTTTCTTTACAATATTAAGTATTGCAATGAAAGTGTGACCTCAATTTTATTTTTCACCATATCACATGTATTTTCAAAGAGACACAATCTTGCTAAGTGTTTAATAGTTAATACAGTTACATCTTGTTAAACTTTTTTGTATACATTAAACTTTCGGTCGTGATTTCATGCTTAGCGCGAAAATCAAACTCGTTTTTAGTTAAAGTCTTAAAAATCAAAAGTGAGTGTGGTAGTTTTGAAAGATGATGATGGATTGGTGAACTTACATCGAACATGGTCATCTCTGCAGAGCTCTCGAGCGAGGGTGGTTTTCCCGGACCCACCAATCCCACAAATCCCGACAACCGAAACATCATTTCTCATGAAAATCATCTCCAAAACCTTGTTCTTCCCGAAATCCAACCCAACCCCGAAACTATTATTCCCATTACACCCCTCCACCCACGTCTCATCCTCCTGCATACTCCTCACAGCCTCCTCCACCCACCCGCCGCCGTTGACGCCGATCTTCATCTCCCCGAGGAAGCGCTCCATCCTCCGGTTCGAGGCCTCCACCCGGTCGAACCGCTCCGCCATCTCAAACCGCGCATGGTGCACGTCGGCGAGTATGTGCGCCTGCATGGGAACCTGCAGGAAATTCGTGACGTGCTTCTCGAGCTTCTCCATTTTCTTAGCCAGCTGGAAGTTGCGGTAGACGTTCCAGCGCGAGGAGGAGAGGGCCTGGTGCGAGAGCTCCACGCCGGACCGGAGAATCTCCGAGAGGCGGTCCAGCTGCGACTGCCGCGGCGCCGGCAGCTCCACGCCGGAGTATTTTATCTCCTCGATCATCGGAAGGATCTCCCTGATGTAGGTTATTAACTGCTCCGCGCTCGACTTGCACCGGAGGGCTTTGCGGGTAATCGTTACCAGCATTTTCCATAAGTCGGAGGCGATCTCGCCGGTGAAGAGCTCCGTCAGGGCCATGGTCGTTAAAATCCCACTTATATCCTATACTTTGCCGCTGTTCCTGCCTGATCTGGGACTTAGAGTTTCTCTGCCATTTACTCCCCCGCGAGGTCGACTACTGCTACTTTGGCTATGGCTATGGCTATGGTTGTCCGTTTTTTTTTCTCTCTTGGTATTATAGGAGTCAGCACTTTAGGTGGTGGCTTTGGGAAATGACGAGAATACCCTTTCTGTGCTAATCATGGTTCCTCATGCAACTCCCTCTGCCATATCACTGTCACATCACCTCTGATCCACTTTATGAGTTGTTTAAATTTTAGTAGAGTTGTTTCTACAAGTAACTCTGCTAAAATTTAAGTAACTCATAAAGTGAGCCAGAGCTAATTTAGACAGAGAGGTTGTTTATAAGCAACCTGGTTGGAGATGCTCTTAGTACTGCCTCAGTGGCACACGTGACGTGACGGACTTTGGTTGGACGCCACGCCATCATTCATTTCAGATCGTTGGATATGGGAAGTGGGAACACAGATTCAACTATCAGGATTCAGGACCAAGTGTTAGCTTTCGTAGTTTGTCGGGTTAGTAGAAAAATATGTGTTTAATAAATAAATATTATTTTTAATCCTTCATGTGTTGTTATCAAAATCAAAATCAACAAGAAATATTGATTTTTGCAACCTTTAGATATTGATGGCTACAAAATGAACTGCATAGGGTCTCATCCGTCCCTTCTTATTGCATTTTTTTTCTTTTTTTTGGAAAAGGGATGTTACTACTTACTTCAGTAGTCTAAACTCTAAAGTAAAGAAAGACTACGAATTCAAAAGATGTTTATGTTTCTCAATTGAACGAGACACCAGGGGCTCAAATACGTAATTTGTGCCTTTTTCGTGTATTACATGGTACTTACTTGCAATATCGTGATACCAAATTGTTTTGGTAATTTGAGGCTACATGTTTGTTTGGTTTATCATTAGTTGAACGAAAAAATTAAAAAAAATAAAAATTATTTCTTAATTTAGTACATTAAAATGTGTGAGTGTATTAATATAAATAAGTTTTTAGAGACACTCCAATGATTACGATTACGACGGGCGCATTTACTTCAAGTTATGTTATTATATTTATAGAAATACATGAGCAAAAAATGTTTCTCTACATTCATGATAAGGCTACAAATTTTATTTTTGAATACTAAACATTTTTAAAAATAAGATAATTTCCATATTTTCAAAGGATGAGATAGATAAGTTGATTCCTATGACGTGATAATTCGAAAATGAATTTTTATTTATTTTAACTTTTTCATATAAATTTTCGTAGAAATATTCTCATCACTAATCAAATATTTTTTTTAATATATTTAAAATTTTCATTTCATCATTATATTTTCGAGAATATTATTTTTGAGAATAAAAATTATAACTTAAAACCAACGTTTTTCTAAACATTTATCGGTCAATTCTTATTGAAAATTTAAATTTGTTTTCAACAAATTTAACATCAAATACATTAGTTTCTAATAATATATATTTTGATATTAATTCTCAAAACATGTTAATGTTATCTGTATAAAAAAATATATTATCAGGAGATACTGTCATTATAATTTATTTTTAGAATATTTATATGTTTCCTCGTTAATTTATCATCCCATTACAAAATAGTGACATGAAAAATTATCTAATAATGACATGTTATTTTATAGAGGAAGGCATCTTGATGAACTCATTAGTTGCTTTAATTTATTTAAATACGCGTAAGTCTGTTTGTATTGTGGGATTAAAACTGAATAAAGTCACTCACTCGTCAGTCTATTAATATAAGATGCTAACTCATATAATAAATAAACCGTTGGTTGCGTCATCATTTTTCAGTTTTCAATAATCATATATATATATATATATAAATTTATAATAATATATAAAGGAGACTCATTTTCGTGTACATAAATTTTAAGACATTTTTTATTTTTATTTATTATGATAACTGCATAATTTTTTTTATATCTACTACAATATAATCGTGTTGTAATTTTTACATCTCACAATACTAATAAGACACAAAATGTCTGTTTTCACTAATATATAATAATTCTGTTAAGTCTCAAAAGTGTAAGTTATATAAGTTATTTAAAATATATTTAGGTGTAAAAATGTTATGCTTGATAAGTTTTAGTTTTCAAAAAGTATTTTTATATTAAAAAAAATAAAAATATATTTGGATAGATTGGAATTTATTACTGCCACTGGTTACTTGCACTGATTCTGAGAACTTGAGGCATTAGACTTGGCACAGGTTATACTATATGCAGACTAGGAAAAGTCATGCCATGGTTTTTACCATCAGAGGAATTTGATTTTGGAAAAAGATAATTTCCATTTTAATATATATGTACAAGTAGTATCCACAAGGAATTGGAAAATAAAACAACACAATAAATAACATAGACACATATTGGTCACTGACTCACTCTTTAAGCCAGTCCAAATCAAAGTACTGCTCTGATACTTGAATATGCACTTTAGGCTTAGCCTTCTCAACCTCTTTCCAAATCCCAGATACCTCCTCATCACAAATTACAAGCCTTAGAGACTGCAATGACAATGCAGACTTTGGCACATTTCTAATCATGCAGCATTCCCGCATGTCAATTTTCTCCAAGCTTACCAGTCTACCAATCTCTTCAGGGAAGCATGTCAGGTTAACACACTGAGAAATGTCAATATACTTCAATCTCACCATGTCACACATGCTAGGAGGAAGTGTTTTCAGATCAGGACAAGCATATAAACGAAGGATCTCTAGGGATCTTAGTTTGCCTAATTCAACAGGCAATTGAGTCAAATTGTGGCAGTTGGTGAGACTCAAGTTTTGGAGGGACTTCATTCCACATATGCTTGAGGGCAATTGAGTTAGATCATCACAGTGATCAAGTGTGAGCTCAAAGAGATTAGGAAAGGCTTGGGCCAAATCTGCCTCTTTTCCCTCCAAACTGTTATTCATCTTGCACAGGACAATAAATAGTTTCCCCAAGCTTTTCATGGCAATGCCTGATAACTCGGGGGTGAAAACTTTTTCAAGCCAGAGGCTTCTCAAGTTGGACAAATTCTTGAAAACTGACACATTGTGTAGGCAAGCATATGTTGCACTGTAGTTTATTATTATCAATGCCCTCAAATTTGGCATTCTATCAATGAAGGGAGGTAAGAAGTACTCAGTGGATGTGAAATTGATAATCAACACTTCAGCCTTTGGAAATTCCAGATTACACCAGTCTTCTTCCTTCATTTCACCTGCAATGTGAAATTCATCAAAGATGAATGTCATAAGAAGCAAGATAAAACAAAAGAAGATAACATAAAGGGCATTTTAGAGAGGTAGTTTGGCTTTGGCATGTATGCATACCTGTGTGAATTGAAACAATCTGAGCCTCAAGAGGCCTGTGTTTGAATCTCAACCACTCTCTAGGAATTCCATTCTCTCGTTTTGGCATAACTAATCGCCGGCGTTCGTTGGTGCTCGCACGGTTGCTCAAATTGAGGGCCAAGTCTCTCAGCACATCATGTTGAGTAACTGAGATCTCAAAGCAACTACTATACATGCCTCCTGCGCTGGTAGATCAAAACATCAAAGGGGTGTTAGAGTGACCTTATTTCAATTGGTGAAACAAGAAAATTAACCAACGAAGTATGTCAAAATGCTTTTGTAGTTTCATACCGTGCCTCTTTCATCAAGGTGAGGAGATTTTTGTTGGAGAGCTCAACAACAATTGCATAAGCTTCTGTTTCAGGAATATCATGGATTTCAACCCACATATTGATGAGAACATCCAGAGGAATTTTTTTATCCTCAGGAAATGAACACAAGTCCAAGAAGCACTCCTTGATCATCTCTGGCAGGTAGTTGATACTAATTGCCATTCTTTCAATCAGATTGTTTTGATGGGATTCACCAATACTTTGTCCCTGAGAAAGCCTGTTTTTAACACTCATCCAAAACATCTCAGTCTGATCCCTCAAAGAAGCCCCAATCACCTTAAGAGCCAAAGGAAGCCTTCTACACTCAGTCACAACCTATTTGCCATTGCACACAAGAAACAAAAATAAAGTCAATTCCATATACAACACCTTACTTTTCTAGTCTTCAGTTAAAAAGATGTTTTCATTCAAAAACAATTTCTCAACATGAAAACAAACATATGAACATATTTTTCTACAATCACATACAATGTACAATTCCAAACCATTGTTTACCTGCTTGACCAAATTCTCATCAGCAGATAAAGGAATTGATTTGTGTCCAAAAGCATGATGACAGAACAAAGACAAGGCATCCTCTTCACTCAGCAATTCCACTTCATAACTTAACACCGTTTGGAACTTAAACCTGGATACCACAAGAAACTTGCAACCGGGTATTCTACACACAAGCTGCTCCATCACAGAGAGTGTCCACACATCATCCAAAACAATGAGAGTTCGAGTTTCACTTCTGCACTCAAACTGTGGCATCCGCTGCGGAACCACATAATTTTCATCCAACCTCTCGTTGCCCATAATATACCCCCAAATCTTCGTCCTTAAATGCTCCACATTCGGAGACTGCGACACAGTCAAGAACAAAATCCTCTCCCTGAAATAACCTGCCAAGAAGAAGAATATTGTTAAAACTCTCTAAAATAAGCAACTTATAAACAACTTATAGTTAATTACTTTTTTTTTAATAGTTTTATAAAGTTCTTATACTTCAATTTTATTTTATTTTAATTTATGTATATGTTATTTTTCTCCATATAAATAACATTTCATTTTGTTTCTTATAAAAGAGAATAAAAAGGGTCTTTATAAAACTAAAATATAATGTTTTGATTACAGTAATTAAGATGCAAAGTTTACAAAATTATAAAAACTAAAACAATAACTAAACTTTTCATATATTTCAAGATAAAACTCAAATTGAGATAGAAGAAACATCAAAGTTTTAACATCTTTATGATATTATGTCAAACTATACAAGAGAAAAAAAAAAGAAAAAAAACCTCCAATTTGATACATATTCTTCAATTATTGAAATTAAAATTTGATGTGTTACAATGAGGAATTTAAGTAGTTAGTTTTGAATAATATTAATGAAGACGATGAAGTGAACTCACATCTAACTTGATCATCTTTGCAGACCTCTGTAGCAAGAGTGGTCTTCCCGGAGCCACCAATCCCAGAAATCCCAACAACCCAAAGATCCTCCCTTCCGACAACCAGCTCCCTGACCTTACACTTGGCGAAAGCCAAGCCAACGGCGGAGGCGCCGTGAGCAGCGTGGAGGTCGACAGTCCTGACAGCCTCCTCGACCCAGCCCCCGCCGCCGACGCCGATCTTCATGTTCCGAAAGTAGTGCTCCAGGCGGCTGCAGGAGTTGTCGAGGCGGTCGAAGCGCTCGGCCATCTCGAAGCGGACGTGGTGGACGTCGGCCAAGATGTGGGCCTGCATGGGGCCCATCAAGAACTTGGAGACGCTCTTTTCGGGC